TTTGGCTCCACAGGGTTCTGCTTTGCCTTCAACAGAGCTGGGTGCCTCAGAGCCCAATGCAAATACACCCGCAAGTGTTCCTCATGCCAAGCAACCGGGCATGGCGCAACCTCCTGCAAATCAGCCCCGAACAAGCAGCATGGCGATGGGCGCTAAGCCAGGCCACGCTGGCCCTTCAGCCCCAAATGGAAACGTTGCATGCTCTGCAGGGGCCCAATGTTTGTGTTGTCTTGCACATTCATCCGTTAACGTAGCGGTGCTGCTCCCACTACTAGACATTTATCCGGACACTGAGGCAGCTATTACAAGTTGTGCATTGAATTTACATTCGGTTTTAGGCTAGGGGTCACTGGGTCGCACATAGCACGGGATGCCCCAAACCTCTTATCTGTCCACCAAAACCCAACACTCGCCCTAGAAAAATTAATAAGGAAGTCAAGCTGGGTCTCATGGCTGACCCGTTTGTGGCCTACCCAATTGAGAATCTCTGCATTTCCCCCACCTGGCGCCTTTCGGATAATCCATCGCCTCTCATACCCCGAACACGAATTAGTCAATGACGGCATTGACGACAACCTGTGCACGTTCATTACACTAACTTTGATGAGGCAACCAATTTGGTGGTGGGGGCTAGGAAAAATGCCCTGCTGGCAAGGCAGACATAAAATCGGCTTTTCGGCTTTTACCGATACATCCGGATGATGTTTAGCTATTAGGCTTGAAGGTGTCGAACAACATTTTTCTGAACAAAACCGTACCCATGGGGCGTCTTGCGCCCCGGTCCACTTCGAAACCTCTGCATTTTTTTAGAATAATCCGTAGTCGGGTTGGGCCGGGACACACCTGCCATTATGTCGATGACTTCCTGTTCATAGGTAGGGCCAGTGCTAAAGGGAATCAATCATGTCAGGCCATACTTGACTGATTCATGGAAATGTGCATAGCCCTGGGGGTGCCACTAGCACATGAAAAGACTGTAACCCCTTCCAAAGGCTTAACTTTTCTTGGGCTGGAGCTAGATACAGTCTCTAAGTCTTTTCCGTGCCACAAGACAAGATCGGCAAAATCTCTAGCAAAATTGACGAAGCGTTACGCTCAAAGAAAATCACACTGAAAAACCTCCAATCCATCATTAGGTCGCTGTCATTCTTGTGTCGTGCAGTCTCACCCGGGCGAGCTCTCCTCCGCAGACTTATAGATTTAACCAAAGGCATAGCCTACGGAAACCGTGGCATCTGGTTCGCCTCTCAGTAGGGGCAAAGAAAGACCTGCATATGTGGCATGTCTTCCTGCATAGCTTTAATGGCAGGACCATAATCCCCGACCAGTTCTGGTTAATAAATGATGACATCCAGCTCTATACAGACGCTAGCAGCGGCATTGGGTTTGGGGGCTATTTTCAGGGTCGCTGGTTCAATGGCGCATGGCCTCAGAGCATAAAAGATGCAAAATTGTCCATAGCGTGGCTCAAGGTTTTCCCAATAGTAGAAGCTATCAAGATTTGGGGAAAATTACTCTTGGGGAAGCAGGTCCTTATTCGGTCCGACAATGCAGCCGTTATTTCCATTGTTAACAGTCAGTCATCCAAATGCCTACAGATAATGAAGCTGGTGCGATGCTTTGTCTTACAGTGTCTCAGTGACAACGTCCTGTTCAAAGCTAAGCACATTCCAGGGTCAAAAAATGAAACTGCCGATGCCCTGTCCCGCTTGCAGATGCCTCGGTTCAGGAAACTAGCCCCGGAGCAGCCAGCTGCAGCCTTATGGAGTCTCTAAACACAGAAACAATTCGTCTGCTTGGGGCCTCCTTTTCCAAGAGCACATGCATGGGCAGCATAAAGCAGGGTAGAGCAGTTTCAGCAATTCAGGCGCCAAGCTATGCTCCCCGTTTTTGTGGCCAGCTCCAAGTAGCAACGTTTAATATGGCTTTCATTGCTTATCTATCTATGGAAAGTTTTGCCCCTTCCACGATGGGTACGTATGTTGCGATACGTACGTATGTTGCAGCGGTTGCTTATGTACATAAAATTAACAATTAGGCAGACCCGACAGCCAATTTCCTCGTTCGTAAGCTTAAGGAGGGATGCCGCAGATTAACCCACAAATCTGACAATAGACGACCCATCACACTTGATCTACTCGGAAAATTATACAATATCCTCAGTGCCACCACGGCGTCCAAAATTGAGG